ATCAAGAGAAGCACACCACATAATGATGTCTACTAAGACAATAATTCGGGCTCAGATGCATAAACCTAATCTAATCATGTGAATGTCATGATGACAACTCAATATCAAAGTGAAGTAAATAAGCTTAAAATGATAGAGAGAGAGGGAGAGAGGGAGAGAGGGGTAGTGAGAGAAGAACCTCAGTCCAACACACATGACACTCTAACGAGGATAAGGAGGTCCTAGCCTTTATATGCATAGAAACAAGCATAGACTGCTTGAATCCATGAAAAAGAGTTTTGAGAAGGTAGGTCCAACTTATTTTAATGAAGGAAACTATGCCTCTGTTTCTATATTATCAATAATCAACAAAACTAAGAAATAAAGAAGGCTCCGATGAGTATAGAGAGATTCTCGCCCTCTAAAACATGAATAAGGGTATAAACTACTCAAATTCATGAAGAAGAGTGACGAGAGGAGAGATTCGGTCTATTCTCATGAAGGAAACCCTACTTGGGCTTCTATAGCAACAAAACTCAACAAAGCATTAGAATAAAGAAGGCACTAATGAGGATAAAGAGATTCTCACCCTCCAACAAATGAATACGGGTATAAACTACCCAAATTCATGAAAAAGAGTTATGAGAGGGAGATTTGGTCTATTCTCATGGAGGAAACCCTACATGGGCTTCTATTGCAACAAAAATCGACAAAACAATAAATGAGGGAAACTTTATTGAGAATAGAGAGATTCTCATCATCCAACACATGAATAAGGGTATAAACTATCCAAATTCATGAAAATAGAATACGAAGAGGAAAGAATCTAACCATTCTTATAGAGGAAGCTATGCATGGGCTTCTAACCCATAATAAAGTAAGAAAATGGAAGTTAGACTTGGGCAAAGTCTTTATACAGGCCTCAAATTACTACAGAAAGATGTGGAAGAAGAGAATCCAACTAAGCTATTAATAACAACCCAACAATGATCTCAAGATCTCAAGAAAATTTCTTATAAAAAAATTTAAAAAAAAAAAAAAAAGAAAAGGAAAAGAGATTGGACGTGCGAGAAATCTAAAATGGAAGTAGGAATTACCTCTAAAACTAGCAGAGATAGGGCCTAAGCAGGTCACAAGCTTCAATCCAAGCTCCCTCAAGCAGATGAAGATCTTTAGCTCTAAATCTCCAAGTTAAGAAATGAAGAAGATCGTCCAAGCGTGTAGGTATATAGAATATGTATAAAGCTCAATGTTCAAATCAACTAATGAACTAGCCAACTAAATTCATCAATCTCTCCAAGAATATGGTTTATATAGGCTTGGGGTGCTTAGAATATGCTATTTTGTCCCCAAGGATCCATACGGCATATTCTAAGATGCTGGGGGACACTTCATGAGAAATTTGTTTGGCTGACGTCAATAGGTTTTTGCCAGACAAAAGTTGTATAGCCGACCAACAGTAGTCTGTCGTGTTTTCTTAAAAAAGGTCCGTCAAAGCAAGAAAGGGTCCAGATGTGCTTATCCAGATAGATGTTATCCGAATGTGCTTATTCGGACTAAAGTTGTCTGTCATGTTTCTAAAAAATTGTCTGGCTGACCAAGAGATATCCGACCATTTTTCTCAAAAGGTTTCCCCATCTTTTCATTCATTCTGACTTTCTAAGCTCTCTTTTATGAAAAGTAGCTCAACACTTTTCATAAACACAACGCTAGGAATGACCAAAACAAATGAGAAGGTACCACTCGCCTAAAAAATCACTTTGAAAAATAGGTTTGAAGGTCTAGAAGAAAACTATTTGGTCAATACATGTGTAGGAATGTTTGTCTCTTTTCATCCCTGACTTGTGCTCGAAACGATCTTTGCTTTCATCATTGGCAGCTCTTCATAGAACGCATAAGTTTTAAGGCCAGTCAAAAATAGGTTGTCTACAACTGGTTGTCTGGAACATAATGTTATCGTACCAAAAAAAAAAAAATTGAACAAATTGAATATGTTCAAAATATTTATGTTGAATAAAATTAATAAGTTCATACTTTATATGTTGAACAACTTTTACTCGTTCATACTTACTATGTTGAACATTTATTGCATATTTATTTTTATTCTGTTGAACATATTTAAGATATATCCTTAGTCTTGTACAACTGCTACCATAGTTCCAAGTCTTGAACACAACACAAAACCATTTCTCAACTTCTCGTACCCAACTGAGTAATGCTTCTTTACTTTTGAAAACCTACATTTAATAGGAAAACAAGTTTAGTACATTTCCAAAATAAAAAACAAAATAATAAAAAAAAAAGCTATCCGTTTATATTGTCTTGAAACATGAATGTACCTCTTTAGTAACAAATTAACTTGTGTAGTCAACAACAATTAGTTAAAACATTGAGTCGGTACAAAATTCTGCAAAAAAAATTAATAAAAAAATAATTTCATGAATACAAAATGGAACAAACTTAATATGTTCAAAAATTTATATTTAAAAAATAATAAAAGTTTAATATTCTTTTAGGAATATTTGGCCAAAAGTCCCTTATTAGTCCCTTTTAAAGTGAAAAGGACAGTCCAAACTTTTTTAATTTGTAAGCCCCTGAAGAAGAAGTGTCTCTTTCATCAAAGACAAACAAATTTGTTTCTATTTTATTTTATTTTTTGTAAACAATCTTACCCTTAATAACTACTTTTATGTTTCAAACTTTAAAATGATATAACTTTTGATTTGTATATTGGTTTTTAATAAAATTAGTAGTTGAAAAATTCTCTCGTCAATATCTATTAAACAAGATCTATGTTGGCTATGAAATTCTTTAAAAAAAAAAAATCTTAATTTTTGTTCCTATTGAAACTAACATTAATAGTAAAATTTTACTATGAATCAAAGTAAAATTTTACTATGAAACAAAGTAAAACTTTACTGTTTACGTCAATTACGACAGTATTTTTTTTTATTTATTATTTTTTTAAGAATTTCATAGTCAACCTAGATTTTATTTGATAGATCTTGATTTTATTAAACCGACATCTAGATCAAAAGTTATATCATTTTAAAATTTGAAATATAAAATTAACTAACGATATTTTGGTAATAATGGTGTGTGTTGGACTTTTCAAAGAAAACTTTTTGTACTTGACTTTAATGCATTAAAGTTTTATTATGAGGGGATTTTGATTAAATCTCCCTTTTTTCTTTTAAGGAATGAATTCAAAATGTTCAATTTTTTATGTATAAACATTCAATAGTTGGTCAACTTTAGTAATTTGAACAAAATAGTTTTGTTCAAATATAAATAATCAAATAATGGGTAAACGTTCAACTCTTATAATCTGAACACATGATGAACAAAATAAATAATCAAATAATGGGTAAACGTTCAACTCTTATAATCTGAACACATGATGAACAAAGTCATCTTCCTAGTGATTATACGAATGAAAAAAAAAAAAAAAACCAAAAAGCCATTGTAAGTATATATGAATGAAAAAAAAAAAAAAAACCAAAAGGTCATTGTAAGTAGTAAATTGACATTTTCATTATTGCACTATTCCAAACCAACAATCTGAGTGTCATTCATGGTGTGCAAATCTTCAAAACTAATTGATTTCAATATTCTTAAACCCTAAATCTTTGAAGGTAATAATGTTTTGAGTTTAGAAAATCAGTATACTGAAGAAGAGAATAAGGTGTGCTAATTGATAATGAATGATATCATGAGTGTAGTGTGCTAGATTATAATGTTGAAAATGGTCAAAGTTGAAAGATAATAAAGAAATACAGTGTTTGTATATATCTATAGATGATTGTGTGTAAAGAGTGATTTATGTTTTCATAAATGAATTCTTTTAATTGGTATAATACATATCCATATTTTTCTTAATGATCTTTTTATTTAAGGATATTATTGTAATATAGATTTAATAGCTCTAAAATCACCCTGAGAATTTGGTTGAGCCTTCTCTCTATTCCCTCTAAGGTGTGTGCTAACTTGACCGTCGGAGGGTTTTTCCGGCCACACACCGCCGGGTAGCTCACCATTACTTGCTCGCAGGTGATCGGACATCGACGGAGCTCGGAAGAAAGGAATACGGGCACGCCGGAATATTTGCTCCCCGTACAAATACATATCCATATTTTTCTTAATGATCTTTTTATTTATGGATATTATTGTAATATAGATTTAATAGCTCTAAAATCACCCTGAGAATTTGGTTGAGCACCCCAAGCCTAAATTTAAATTTTTTCTTTTGCACTTTGAACACCCCAATAATCCCAATCATATCCCTTATCACCCCAACTGGGCTCTAACCCAAACCCTAGCTCCAGCAGCCTCTTCCACCCCCGACCAACCCTCCTGTTGCCATCACCATCACCAACCACCTCACTTCTTCCTTTGTTTCGGTTAGCCTCTCTCCACCTCCATTATCTCTTTGGTTAGCCTCCTCTCGCTGTCACCGTCACAAACAATTCACTCTCTTTACAAATCGCACCGTTGTCCATCAATCCTTATTTTGATCTCCGTCTTGACACCTTCACCCACATTTCTTCTTATTTTAAAATCCTAGATCCAAAACCCTAGATGTTCGCGGTGACGACAATAGGAATACAACAGTGGCGAAGAAGGAAGTGGCAGCGACAAACGAATATAGGGAGGCAAGAGGTGGCAAGTGGCTAGGGAAATGGCTAGAAAAGGGATAAGAATGTTGTTAGGGTTAGGGATTTAAGTGAATATCTATTTTAGTAATTTGATTTTAGGATAGAACGACATTTTAAAATTAAAAAAAAAAAAGAAAAAAGAAAAAATTGATAGATGAGGTTCTTAATCAATGTTTTGGAACAAGGGTTACTATTGTCACATACTTGATTTCTTTGGACCCCCTACTCTTTTATTTTTTTTTTATTACAATTTTGCCCCAACATCAATTTCTATTTTTGACCCCATCTCTATCCTTCCAACCCCAACCCTAAGCCTAACCCCAATCCCAACCCCAACCCCACCTCCACCTCCGCCTCCACCTCCACCTCTGCCTCCACCTCCGCCTCCACTCCGGCTAGTAGCCTCCTTCGGCAACCATTCCAATGCCTCCACGTCGTCTCCTTCCTCTTCTTCTTCTTCTTCTTCTTCTTTTTCATCTCAAAACTGATCATTCCATCGCCATCACAATCAACACCACTAATCATCTTCTTACACTCACTGATCGAGCATTCCTTGTCGAGGCTCTGAAACATATTGATCAATTGCACGGCAGAGATCAATCCATTCTTATCGATATCAAACATAGAGAAAGCCTCGGCGAGATTCTCCAAAACCTCATCGGAATCAATGTCTTTGGTGTTGAGTTCGATAAACTTGCTGAGATCGATGCATTCATCATTGTTGTCATCGATCTGCTTGATCATCGTCTAGAGCTCCTCGTCCGTGGCGATGTGACCAAAGCTGCCAAGGATCGAACCGAGTTCTGACAATGAGATCTTTTCATTGCTATTAACGTCGAATTTCTTGAAGACTTGCTTGATTTCTTCTTTGATCTGGGCACGAGAGTTGAGAGAGGAGGATCGTGAGCCCAAGAAAGAGGGGATCAAAGATGCGGAGATTAGTTTCTTCTTTCAATTGAACAGTTTTGGAAAACCCATTTTGTTTTTTGTTTTTTGGATTGGTTTGTGAATGAATTGAATCAAACAATGCAACAATGGAGAGTGAAGAAGGAGGTGGCAACGGAGGTTGGTGGCGATGTGCCGTAGCGGAGGGTGTAACCGGAGCAAGCCGTTGTCATCAATGGCCATTGGAAATAGTGGCAGAAGTTGTTGGAGTTCATGTAGATGGGATTTAAGGTTCAGATTAGGGTTAGGATTTGGAGTTACGGACATCGTTGGTATTAAGATTGGAATTTAAAAAAATAAATAAATAAACTTCATTTTGTTTAGTGAAGGTTCAAAAAAAATGTAGAGACCAAATTAAAAAGGTCGAAAATAACAGCCCTACTTAGGTTACATTAGAGCCTCTCGTAGGTGACAACCCAAAATGTGATTTGGCAAAACCGCCCTCGCAGAGCTGCTCTGATAAGCTTAGCTTTGAATGGCTTCAACTATTGATGTAGAACAAGTAGCCGAAAACTTCTCGGAACAATTGGACCGACAAAAGGCAAGAAAAAAGATGTAGAACAAAATTCTATAATTTTTATATTTCTTAATTTTATTATTTAGAATTAGGTTTTTGACTAGGATTTTAAATAGCTTAGAATTTTAGTCTCTTAGGTTTCTTAGTTCTCTTAGGTTTCTTAATTTGTGTTGATTTAAGTTCCTAGTTTATTTTGGAATCACTTTTCCTACAAGTATTAGGTATAGTCTATTATAAATAAGCCTACAAGCATATGTAATTTTCATTCATTCAATAATATTTTTAAGAGCTTTCTTCTATCTTCCTTGTGGATTCAAGGTTGTTCTTGTGGATTCAAGAATTCTCATCTACTAGAACGATATCTAGTCTCGCGTGATTTATTCCGCTGCGTCAAGTGGTATCAAAGCGAGGATTCACCTGGCTCAATGGCACAAGACAGAGTAGATCATGCAAACCCTACTGGCGATGATCGTGGGGTCGAGGCCCTGTGGACAGCATATGAGAAACAGCAAGAGCAGTTGAACGAAATTCATGATCTGCTTATTGGCCTGAATCTCAATGCCAACAACAGGCCACCAGTGGTTGATAAGGTTCGTGCTGAGGGAGTTGCCCAAGGCCAACCTATTAACCAGAACAGAGTGCGCACCGAAGGATTTGCCCGAGGTCAACCTGTTCAGAATGCTCCTAGACGTCCCCTTCGTTGTCCATCTGATAGTGAAGAAGAGTCTGAGCCAGAGTTTGAACCACTTCCAGCCAACTATCAACCCCGAAGACAACAACAACAAGGGTTCGATGAGTACCGAATGAAGATAGATCTTCCCCAGTTCAATGGAAATCTACATATTGAGGATTTTCTTGACTGGCTTTCAGAGGTGTAGCGATTTTTTGAGATGATGGATGTTCCAGAATCAAAGATGGTGAAATTGGTACCGTACAAACTAAAATGAGGTGCTACGGTATGGTAGGATCAATTGCAGAAAAATAGGCATCGACAAGGAAAATAATCTGTACGGACTTGGCGTCGGATGAAACAACTCCTCCAAGACAGATTTTTACCACCAGATTATGATTAACACTTGTTTCAGTTGTACCAAAATTGCAACCAAGGAAGCCGATCTGTATTTGATTATACAACTGAATTTTTCTGACTTTCAAATCGCAATAATCTGAATGAGACCAAAGGACAGCGTGTAGCCCAGTATCTCAATGGGTTAAAATTAACTATTCGGGAGAAGATGGGGCTATCAGTGGTGTGGACTGTGGATGAAGCACATAATATGGCTCTCAAAGCCGAGCTAATGGAGCGCAAGACAACCTATTCTGGATATCGTCGGAACCTTCCTGATTCATCGTTTCCCACTAGGGAAAAAGGAAAAGGGGTTGCCCAACCAACAGTTCCAGTAAATCAGCAGAGGGGTACCACTAGTGGAGGAGGAAACCAGATGACTGGATCAAGTAATAGAGAGGCATCTCGAAACACAAATCCTTATGCCAAACCAACAACGGATAAGTGTTATAGATGTGGTACGCCTGGCCATCGCTCTAATGTCTGCCCAGAAAGAAGGACTGCTAATTTAGTTGAAGAATAAGATGAAATTGGAGATAATGGAGATGCAGAATATGAGGGTGATCAGTATGAAGGTGCTGAACTCGCTAGAGAAGAAGGAGAACGAGTCAACTATGTAGTTCAAAGGGTTCTATTTACACCAAAAGCTGAGGACCTCAGTCAACGTCACAGTATTTTTCACTCTTGTTGTACCATAAACTAAAAGGTGTGTGACCTTATTGTGGACAGTGGAAGTTGTGAAAATTTTGTGGCTAAATGATTGGTAACACACCTGAACTTGTCTCCTGAACCACACCCCTCTCCCTACAGTATTGGCTGGATCAAAAAAGGACCTGCTGTCAAGATAACTGAAGTATGTAAGGTACCTATTTCTATTGGTAAACATTATAAATCTGATGTATTATGTGATGTGGTTGATATGGATGCTAGTCATGTATTACTTGGAAGACCTTGGCAATTTGATGTGGATATTACATTTAGAGGGCGAGACAACACTTATGTGTTCAATTGGGGGTCTCATAAAATTGCTATGAGTCCCTTAAAGCAACACAAAGTGCCTCCGAAAGTCGAAGCGAAGTCTTTCCTCACTATAACCAATTCAGAGGCCGAGTTTGTGGCAGATGCGAAAACTTCACAAGAGTTATATGCTATGGCTGTGAAAACAATGGTACCTATGGCCAAGGAGAACACAATCACACCAATCCCTCAGAAAATTCAACCATTGTTGGAGGAATTCCAAGAGCTTACTGCTGACGAGTTGCCAGATGAACTTCCACCCATGAGGGACATTCAATATCAGATTGATTTCATACCAGGAGCAAGTCTGCCAAACCTACCACACTATAGAATGAGTCCAAAAGAGAATGAGATCCTACGGGAGAAAGTTGAAGAATTGCTGCGAAAGGGACTTATTCGTGAAAGCCTAAGTCCATGTGCTGTTCCGGCATTATTAACGCCAAAGAAATATGGAAGTTAGCGAATGTGTGTAGACAGCCGAGCCATCAACAAGATTACCATCAAGTATAGATTTCCCATTCCCAGACTAGATGATATGTTGGATATGCTAGAAGGATCAAAGTGGTTTTCAAAGATCGATCTGAGAAGTGGGTACCATCAAATTCGAATCCGTCCTGGGGATGAATGGAAAACATCATTCAAGACTAAAGATGGTTTGTATGAATGGTTGGTTATGCCATTCGGCCTTTCTAATGCTCCTAGCACCTTCATGCGAGTAATGCATCAAGTATTACGACCTTTCACTGGGAAATTTGTCATGGTTTATTTTGATGACATATTAATCTACAGTAAATCTGAAGAGGACCACATGTCCCATTTACGAGAGGTGTTGACAGCATTGGGGGTAAGCAAGTTGTACATTAATCTTAAGAAGTGCAGTTTCCTTACAAGTAGTTTGTTGTTCTTGGGTTATGTGGTTAGTTCAGATGGCATTCATGTGGATCAAGAGAAGGTTTGAGCCATCCAAGAATGGCCAACACCCAAGACTGTTAGTGATGTTCGGAGTTTCCATGGGTTGGCTACGTTTTATAGGCGTTTCATTCGAAGTTTCAACACTATTATGGCACCAATAACAGAGTGCATGAAGAAAGGAAAATTCCTGTGGGATGATGATGCAGAAGAGAGCTTCTTGCTGATCAAAGAGAAGTTGTGCACTACACCAGTACTAGCTTTGCCCAGTTTTGAGAAGATTTTTGAGATAGAGTGTGATGCCAGTGGTGTGGGCATTGGGGCTGTCCTATCTCAAGAACATAAACCAGTGGCCTTTTTCAGTGAAAAATTAAGTGAAGCTCGGCAAAAGTGGAGCACTTACGACCAAGAATTTTATGCAGTGGTTCGAGCTTTGAAGCATTGGGAACATTACCTGATACAGAGAGAGTTTGTGTTGTATACTGATCATCAAGCCTTAAAGTTTATCAACAGCCAGAAGCACCTAGATAACATGCATATAAGATGGTCTACTTTCCTTCAGAAATTTCCTTTTACTATTCGCCACAAATCAGGGGTTTTGAATCGATTCGCGGATGCCTTAAGTCGACGGGCTAGTTTATTAGTCACGTTAACACATGAGATTGTGAGTTTTGAGTTCCTGAAAGAACTTTATCCTGATGATGATGACTTCAAGGAGATATGGGCAAAGTGTATTCAAAGACAACCAGTAACTGATTTCCACATCACTGATGCCTATCTATTTCGAGGAAATCGCTTATGCATTCCCCGTAGCTCTTTGCGAGAGAAACTAATTCGAGATCTCCATGGTAGTGGCTTAAGTGGACATTTGGGCAGGGACAAGACTATCGCAAGTATGCAAGAACGATATTTCTGGCCTCAGTTGAAGCGAGGTGTTGGCAATTTTGTAAAGAAGTGCTACATTTGTCAAGTATCCAAAGAGCAGTCTCAGAATACTGGCCTCTATATGCCGCTACCTGTTCCTAACAGCATATGGGAAGACTTGTCGATGGACTTTGTGTTGGGACTCCCTCGTATCCAACGTGGAGTTGATTCTGTGTTCGTAGTAGTTGACAGGTTTTCAAAGATGGCGCATTTTATTCCTTGTCGAAAGACTTCAGACGCCTCTCATGTGGCTCGATTATTCTTTCGAGAAGTAGTTCGTTTGCATGGAGTCCCTCAATCCATTACCTTAGATCGTGATGTCAAGTTCCTTAGCCACTTCTGGGTGACTTTGTGGAAGATATTTAA